AGCATCCATTTTAGGAGAGACATGCAATGCCAGGCATGAGGAGAAGAAAGAGTGCCAGAAAATGTAAGCAGAGATAAGCTGTAAACCTGTATACAGCATGTTCACACATTTATATTCTCCATTGTTACATTTATTTATAGATTTTTTTTTTTTCACATTTGTGTCTGTGTTTGTTGTTTAGCATCCGGCTGAGGAGTCTGAATGCCAGCACTGATATTTCCGCCCTGGCCAGGAAGGTGGTGGAAGAGTGTAAAGTAATTCATCCATCAAAGCTGGCGGAGGTGGAACATCTGCTGCTGTATTTACAGAACCGAAAGAAGCCCAGCAGTAAATGTAAGTACCTCTTTAAAACATATTTCCTAGTGAATCATTTTTTGGTGGACTTTTATATGAGCAACTCACAATCTTTTTATTTTAGTAATGTTTATTTATCTATTTATTTTTATGTATCATATCACATTTAATGGTGACAGCGTTTGTTGTTTTAATGTTGTCTGTCCTTAGCGGAGAAGAAGGAAAAGAAACCATCGAAACCCAGAGAACTTCTGCCATTTGAAGGAATGGAAGTACACACATTTTAAGTTACACATTTTATGGGTACTTAGAGCTGAGAAAGTGAATGTGTTAACACATGTGATTAATTAAACATGTTGAATTGTGCTAATTTTTCATATGTTTAACGCCTATATCTAATTTGACATGATAATGGATTCATTCTGTTGTGTCTGATTTTTACCAACTATGAAAAGTCCATTTTAAATTTTACTCAAAATGCGATATCCGCCGAGTTATTCTGTCATGTTTTCTCCCTTTTTTCCAAACCGCGACAAACGCCAGTCTCTCTTTTCTGCAGAATGCGATATATCCGCTCAACCAATCACAGTGCACCATTCCACGCACTGTAGACAGTAATGGCGGCGCTTTGAATACACCCGGCATCCTAGTTTTCCTCATCTACTTTGCACTTTGTGATCAACAAACAAACTCAGGGCTATACGATAAATCGCATATGATTGTCATACGCATCTCGTCAGTAAAGCCGGTTCTGTGATTAATAGTAAATCTCCATCACGTGCTTTCAGATGGAGTGGCATTTAATACACAGAGCCGTAGATCACTGCAATATCGCGTTCTTAATCACAGATGAGTCGCATTCGATTATGAACGCGATATTGAGTAGCTTGTCAGTGTAAGTCTTTTTATTTATGCCATTAATATTTTTGTTAATACAGCGTATAGCACTAGTCAACTAAATTAATGTAACATGGCAAAGATGAATGCACTTTTGGAAGTTGAATATAAGGGAAATGTCATTTTGGAATTTCTGTGGTCTAATGTGATATTGTTGTTCATGTATGTTCATGATGAAATTTTCTTTTATTGTTCTTTTAATTAATTTATAGCATTAACAAGATGACCCGTTGAATTC